AACCTCACAAACTCTGTAGTTACTCCCCAGAACCTCTTACTGTTTTGATATATCGAAATTGGTCTATTACAGTGTTCGACTGAAGAGAGGGAAACGATTCGAGAAATCGAGATTCCACTCTGTCTAGTTAATTGTAATTGTATGGGCGTTTTGAAAAAATAAATATTCTCACTTCCTAAATTCATACAAGCGTTCATTCCTTCACACTGGAACTTTTTATCCCCATTTCTTTCCAAAACGGTGGAGTAGCAACATACAATGAACAAGGTCAAAATCACTTGTATAAAAATCTAAAATTTATTCACGGTTTTTCTATATCTTGGAGGCAAAAACGCCAGAAATCAGGAAAAACAAAAGCTTATAACTTACAAGCACCAAACTACGAGCGAATATTATGGTATCTGTTCATAGCCTCTGTGACATGCCATACAAAGAACTAGAAAATATTTATTTGTCCCATATTAGAGTAATTAAATTGATTACATCATACAATCCGACCAATAAATTACTAGCGTTGACGAAGCCGGAACGTTAATCGTAATAACAATCAGTAACATCCAATAACCTTTCAACGTTGGGCTTGATTCTTTCACTGAGCAGGAAAAAAAGGCTCTGTTTCACAAGACAATTTGTTCCCTCTATTATGTCAATTCTTTATAATCGTAGAAAAGAGTCAATGTGTTTGAGTGAAGTTGACCGTGCGTTTTCATGTGGCAAGCCGAGTTCACAAGCTGAGAATGCACTTCTCCGTAAGTTCATGGCACTGTCAAAGACAAATTTATGTTTTAAGATTAATACAACACAAGCAGTACAACATGTGGACGCTAACAATCAGTTTCACCTCCGTAACCTTTACCAATGAGCTTTTACTACACTGAACCACTTTCTGTCGGATTCACTCACTCAAGGAGTTTCCGAAACAAATAAATAAACTTCGCTCAAGAGGATAATTGTACATACCAATCAAGTGACCTAAAATTACAGTCTGAAACAGTGCACTGTTAACTCAACACAAACTGGCGCTAATTCTAAAGTTATTCTATCCCTTGTTGAAGGGAACAGGGTTTGCTTCCATGAAAAGAGGAGGGGCATGGAATGGTTCCGATACAAAGGTTTTTTTTGTGTTCTAAAAACAAGAACACTAGAAAACTACTCTTTAGGATTTGCATTACACTTTAAGTTACGGGACTGCAATGCATGGAGGATTCAAATCGTCGGATTTGCCCAGGCGCGGAAGCCACGATCAAGATATCTGCGACTATGTTGTGATGCGTGTAAGGTTCCTGTGGTTCAGTAAGACTACTGTTCCTCCGGATTGCTTGGGTCGCACAGGGACACCACCAGTTTCACTCGCGTTTGCGGGCCAAAGTCAAGCGAGGGAACGCGGAGCTGTTGTAAGTGCCGGAACCGCTCGTTATCACTGTTTTACTGTATACACTTATTCCATTATTTTTGTTGTTTCACTGCTTTGTTAAGTTCACCTACAAGGAGGAAAAAAAAATACCATGACGCTCAAATCATGTTGATCAACATTTGATTTCTCCTTAAAGGAGCTAAGTCATGGTTTGCCATTCTTGAAACGTTTAGGCTAAATCTTTGAAGTTCGATTTTGCACGTGGCCAAAACAACTCAAAATACCGTGACTGAGCTTCCTTCACAGAGACAGGTGACGGAATAGCTCCGTTATAAACTATCAAATTATCAAGACTGGCAATCACTATGGAGTGTGACATTTGTCACGCCAGAGTAACACAAGATTCAGTATCTTGTGCCATGCTACTGTAAAACTGAAACTAAATTGGCTAAGCAAGGCATATATATAAGCGTGCAACTAGTTTAAAACTGTACCAGGTAGTTATCTAGCCACTGGATCTATAAACGTTCACCTCACGCACCGGCGTACCGCGACAGAGTCACGTCACACAACATATCACAACCTTTCCATCCCAGAAAGGAAAGATTGCGTGAAAACCAAAAACCCAGTTAGCACGGACCATTCTGTTTTATCTGAAAGGGGGGGGGGGCGCAGAGGGGGGGGAAGGAGCAAGCCTGGGCCATTTTCAGGGGCATAATGTTTTTTTTTCCTCAACTTTAGGTTGTGTATGACTTTTTGGTGGGCAATGGCTTGTTCAAGGATTTTTTAATAAGTCACGCTCAGGACTTGGATAGTAGCACTTGCTGGATTTTTTCCCCATGGTTGCCCTTGGACGAATTTTTTTCCGTAGTTTTTGCTGTGCAGGAAGTTTTTTAAAAAT